AAAGGCTTTAGGAAAGAGAAACTGCAACTGCAAAGTGAAACAGGCAGGGCTCCAAGGGAAGGGAAGCTTCAGTAAGAGCCAGCGGGGTGGGGGAGGGGGGGCTCCTCTTCCTCCTCCTCCTCCTCCTGGGCGGTGAGTCTGAGGGAACTGCCCTTGGTGAATTGTGTTGATGTCCTGCATCAGCTGACATCCAGGGCGTCCAGCGGGGAGGATACAGTTTCCCAGCACCCTGCCTCCTTATTGCAGTGGTCAGTGGCCACCCACCCTCACCCAGCCCACCCTGATCGCCAATAGGACTGGCCGGCCACTGCCAGGAGCCGTTAGGTAACCTCCAATGGGAAGGGGGTCTTTGGTCAGTTTCATTCACTGCTGAACCTCCAGTTCTTACAATAATACGTGGCACACGGCAGGCATTCAAAAGTAGTTTTTTAAAAAATACATACATACTTTTACTGATTTCAGAGAGGAAGGAAGAGGGAGAGAGAGATAGAAACATCACTGATGAGAGAATCATTGATCGGCTGCCTCCTGCATGCTCCCCACTGGGGATCAAGCCCGCAACCTGGGCATATGCCCTGACAGGGAATTGAACCAGGACCTCCTGGTTCATAGGTTGATGCTCAACCACTGAGCCACCCTGGCCGGGCAGTAGTTGTTGAATGAATGAATGCAGGATAGAACGGTGGACTCTGATGTCAGCCTCTCCAGATTAGAAACTAGGCTGCTTTTGAATGCTGGGCCACTAGCAATGATTGAATGGCTCCATGCTTGAGTCTCTTCCCCTTGAAATGGAGGTAATACTCTACCAACTCACAGTGGTGTCTGGGGCTCACATGGGTGGACTCACGAAACACATTCTTCTAGGAAGAATAATGCCCGGCACACAATAAGGAAATGTTAGTTTTTATTTTAATGAATAACTCAGCGCTTTAACCATGGCAACCAGAAGGGAAACTTGCGACATTTGCTTTTTCCAGAGCTTTTGCCTGACATCTCATGACCCATCATTGTCACTGACTCAAGGAAAACAACCCGTGACCCCTCTACACATCGCTGGCTTCCCTGGGCTCCACACCCTTGTAAGCCCCCGTGGGTTGCCTTGGTATTCTGCACCCCCACACCGCAATGGGCAGCCGTAGTGGTGTGTTATGATAGAGGAAGTGTACCTTCTTTGCTCTCTCCTTATCCATACCCTTAATCACAAAGGGATTACCATGTACATAGACCCAAGGGCGGTGGGGGAGGGGGGAGCTAATAGCACCTGGTTTCTTTGTGGCCAGGAACTTACACAGAGCCTGGGAGAAACACACGCTCAGACTGAGGCTGACGAGCCAGGTGGTTGGGTCTTGGAGGAAGCATGATTTATTGCGCATTTTTCTGCCCAGGACCTGGTGGAAGCTATGCTTCTTGACAATCCTCTACCCTTTTATTAGGCTACACAGCTAAGCCTGTCTCCGTTGGAAATCCGTTCTTTTAGGTCTCACTTTTCTTACAAGTTCTTTTACGTACTTATAGAAACGTATTGTTAAATGTGCAAGAAGTGCCGGAATAGGAAATTAGGAACATTGTGGGTTTTGTTTTATTTTTTTGGAATTGGCACTCAAGGAAACTGTTAGATAGACATGTTTCAATCCTATTCATGAAGGTGCTGGATGGGGAGAAGCTCAGAGAAAGCACGTGGTCACTGTGTTGTGAAGCGCCTAGATCAGCGGTTCTCAACCTGTGGGTCGAGACCCCTTTGGGGGTCGAACGAACCCTTTCAAAGGGGTCGCCTAAGACCATCCTGCATATCAGATATTTACATCATGATTCATAACAGTAGCAACATTACCGTTATGAAGTAGCAACGAAAATAATTTTATGGTTGGGGGTCACCACAACATGAGGAACTGTATTAAAGGGTCGCGGCATTAGGAAGGTTGAGAACCACTGGCCTAGACGTACGGATTCACCTTTCAGGAGTCTGTATGGCCACATCCCGGGTGTGATCTCAGCAGGGATGAGTCACCTGCTCTGGCTGCTGGGCTCGAGTGAGAGTACGTGGTGTGACTGGGAAATAGAAACTGGAAATGAAAACCAACTCTCCTGGCAATTGTTTCTGTTTTGAGAAAAATGAAACAACGAGAGTTCCTCTTACTCTGCTTGTTACAAATATTTCTGTCTGTCTTTACATAGGCCTCAGGCTGCCCCTGCCTCAACCTAGACTAAGGGAGAGACCTTGTTTGCTGTTCCCAGAATGAGAAAAGGCCACCTTGAGGAGCTGCATCAGCTACACAGTGGTCTGTAATTTCTCCCTTCTTGTGTTCCTTCCAGCCTACTGTTATCAGCCCCAGAGTACTGCATATTCTCTTATTATCTCTAAACCCAACCCACCTCTATACTAGTATTCAACCTTCTTGAATTACTCAGCGTGAGTTTGACATCAGTTTCCTGCTAGGAACCTGACATACAGAAAACAGAGAGGAAACCTTAAAAACCAAAACCCAGCTTTAGCTGGTTTGCCGGACAGAGTGTCGGCCTGTGGACTGAAGGGTCCCGGGTTCGATTCCAGTCAAGGGCATGTTGCTGGCTCGATCTCCAGTAGGGGGTGTGCAGGAGGCAACGGATCGACGGTTCTCTCTCATCATTGATGTTTCTATCTCTCTCTCCCTTTCCCTTCCTCTCTGAAATCAATAAAAAATATATTTAAAAAAATCAAAACCCAGGGTCTGAGGACTAATAGGCAGGTGAAATTAGGGTATTCTCTTTGTGACCCGGGGTAAGCTGTTTAGCTCTTATCTTTTGTGAGGACTGAATGAAATAACATCTGAAAAGTGCCTCTAACAGTTCCTGGTAGATAGGAAGCATCTGAAAATGTGATTTACAGTATTAGCATTATCATTATGTGGAGCAATAAACATGAATCAGGTGAGGAATCATCTCATTCAGTATGCACAGCCGCCCCAGGAGGCAGGTGGTATCCCATTTACAGATGAGAAATTGAGAGACAGAGTTTCTTACACAATAAGTACAGTGCCATATCAATTAACCAAGTGTGTGTGTGTGTGTGTGTGTGTGTGTCTGCTCTCCCCGATCTCTTAACCACACCTATTATTTTGTGGTTAGAACATTAATCTAGATGTTGCTGGGAAGGTATTTTGCAAATGTGATGAAATGCCATAATCAGTTCACTTGAAGCAGAAGATCATCCTGGATAACCTGGGTGGGCCTGGTTTAATCAGTTGAAAGGCTTTAAGACAGAGCTGAGGCTTCCTTGATGAAGAGCTGCTGCCTGTGGCCGCCAGTGACAACCCACACCCCAGAGTCCAAGCCTGCCTTTCCTACCGGTTTGCCCTATGGATTTGGACTTGCCTAGCCAGCCCTCACAATCACATAGGCCAACTCCTTACAGTAAATCTCTTACTATATACCTCTTCTTGCTTCTGCTTCTTTGGTTGAATCCTGACTGATACAGAGGTTTATGAACAGAGGATGTTCATTGCAGGATTAGTTACAACTGCTTAATAATTTAAACGAACTAAATGATGGTTCATAAAAAATACTTAAAGGCATTATGGAACTAACAGTTGAACACATGAGTTTGTTTTAGCTTTCTCCTCAAATCAAATCCTCAAGGAGAAGAGAATAGTAGAGAACACAAAGGCAACAAAATCTTGGAAACTCTGAAAGAGCTAGACAAGAGGTAATTTCCTCATGCTGTACTAAACTTGAGAAAACTACATCTGTCAGCAGTGGGGGAAGTCCAAGAATCAACCCAATTTATATTGCAGACTACACCAAAGGCTCAGGAATTAACGGCATGGAGCAGTCTATGAGGATCAATATCTGAATAGTAAGAGTTCTACAGAGGCAGAAAAAAAAAAAAAAAAAAGAAAGAAAGAAAGGAAAAAAATATTCATGAAAATATCCAATAAATTTTCCCTGATTGAAAGCTATAAGTTTCCAAGTGGGAAAAAAAATAAACCTTTACCAAGTAAGCTTTTAGAACACTGATGACAAAGAGAATTCTAAATGTCCTGGAGCTGGGGGCGGGGGGATTTATAAAATAAAATCCAAATGTTTTTGGACGTCTCATCAACAATAGTTAAAGCTAGAAGACAAGGGAGAAATGTCATCAAAATAGTGCGGGCAAGTAATTTCTAGCACAGAATTCTAAATATAGCAAACTAATGGGAGGAAAAAAATAAAGACACTTTTATACATAAAAGTAAAATGTTTACTTTATACGCACTGTTCCTCAGGAAGCTGGGAGGAGAAGTAGCAGTAAACCCAGGGAAATAAAGAAACGGGATTTAGGAAGCACAGGACACAGTGCAAGGGAAGGTCCAGTACCAGAGGGAGGTGAAGGAAAACCCTAAATGAGGGGGAAGGGAAATCCTTGCTACAGGTCTCAGGAGCAACCAGTGTAGACAGGAGCCGGTCACATAGCCTGTGAGTGATTTCCACGGAAATGTGAACATGTCAGCTTACCTAATATTTGAAAATGGGGAGAGGAGATCTATTCAACTGGAGGAGAGTTTGGTTGGGGCTGAGATAGTGATCATTACTTAGAAAACTTAAAAAAAAAAAAGAGGAAACAACACAACTACTTTTTTGTTTGTTTCCTTTAACGTGGGGGAAACATGAAACAAAATACAGGAAAACAAAGGTCACTGTAGAACAAAACAGGGCTCAGTTGTAAATAGCACTCATGTGACTGTAATAATCTAAATAGTGAATGTTAATCTAAGACAATGCCATTGGCTGGGAGAGGCGCTGTGTGTGCATGTGTATGTTGAGGGAGGGAGTTCAGTGGCGAAAAGCCAATACATAAAGCCTAACCATTTAAAAACATTTTTAGAATTTCCAAGATAAGCATATTATTTAGTATAAGGCAATAACACAATATCCACTAAAAGAATTATAAATGGTTGCCTTTAGGGAGTGGGAAATAAGGTGAAGGACTG